CACCGATCCATGCCGCACAGCCCAATGATATTGCGAGAAGATCAACTAAGATGTTTCGGTCCCGTAAAGAGTTTGAGCATTGTTGTAAAAGCCTGCTTCATTTTTGTAGTTGGGTTTATTAGAAATGTGTGCTCGCATGGAATTCCTGCTTGTCTGCGAATTAGAAAACATGTGCAAAATTAGATTTCTGTTTGCAGTAGTAAATAAATTAATATACAAAAAGTAGAAAAAATTATATTAATGCAATTTGTAATGCGCAGAGGCAATGGAAAATTAACTCGGATTGCAAGACTAATAGTACTGAACATTATAAAATGTTCATACCAAAGTTATATAAGTTCTATAATCATTATGTAGTAGCAAATTATATCAAGAAACGATTACCTAATATTTTCTAGACATCGTTGAACATATTAGCTTAAAAACTTATTTAAAATCAATATGTACTATTATATCATCTTTTATAGAAAGTCTAAAGCATCCAGATCTCATTATATAAACACATAGAATAAAAAAAAATCCACAACATATATTGTAAAAAAAATTAATTTAATTGAAACTTTGTACAATATATAATAGTAATTTTGTGTAGCACATAATTATATATTCTATGGCCAAAGCAAAAATTAAGACAGAGTTGTTTTCATACTAGAAGTTTCAACTACTGAAATGAAACTTTTTATAAAGAATACAGTACAATCTATTAACTCACGCATATACCACCAAGTATTTTGATCTTCTCGCTCAACACATGCGATTTTACACTAATTATGTGGCACCATAACCAAAAAATGGCAAGTGGTTAAATCACCTTTTAATGTAAGACTGTGAATTATGTAATTAATATCAGCGCAGAATGTTGAAAAGAAATATTTACACACCTCTTCAGTTCGCATTCAACTTTCAAGTGACAATCACCTGAACTGAAATCATTCAAATTATCTTGTCCCATGATTAAACACTTATTACAATTTATGACAATGACCTTGTTTGCGAAGAATTTTGAGATAACAGTTTTATTTAATTAGGCTTAAGATAATCGCATTTTTTTCTAAAAACGTGCCTAAAAGCACATCGTATAAAAAATTTTAAAAAAATCACAGAAACGAGACGATGAGTTGACAAAGTGAGAAATGAACAAAAGATTGCGCAAAACGCAAACTATGACGTTCATAATGAAATAGCAAGCACGTAACCTACAACTCTAATTTCTTTACAAACAAAAATAAAATAGCTATTCATAGGAACTTAACGGGTATTTGGTTTTTAGTAATTTGCGTTACATTTCGGACATCGGACATCGGACACGGACAAGTTCTCATGAGGCGACTCTCACAGGCGCTTTCATTGCTTTAGGCCATACACTCCAGTTTTATGCAATGGCATGAATTCTAAAAGACAGTAAGAAGAAGCTGCTATACAACAACAATATAAATAATATATGATAACGGTTGGAGCAAAAACAAATCATGATCTTATGAATGATAATAATAATTGAACATTTTTTACAATTTTTTCCAGTTTGTTTTCGAAAATTTAAAACAATAGTTACAACTTTCACATGTGAGGCATAATAAATATGTATACATATTATGTCTGTGTGTGTTTGAATCTGTTTAATTTTTTTATTTGCCAAATAAAATACTAATCTATAATTTTTATTTTAAATTAAATGTTTAGCAAACATATTTGTGGCATTATTTTATATAGAAATAGGGTTTCTCACATTTTTTTTTTTTTTTTTGTAAAAACAACTCTAAATCATTTGGTAGATTAATCAAATAAAAGAAATTATACCTTAACATAAGTATTTATTAGCACTATAATAATTACAATTAAAATATTACAATATGACAGAATAATAAATATTTTAATAAATATATTCAACAAGCCATTTCAATTGAAAATAAAAATCGCAAATTACATTTTTTGTGCATTTTCAGGAATCTAATATTCATTCAAATTAAAAAACCTTCATTAATTGATAGCCTAGTATTGAGTATATAAGCACATGTGAAACTAATTCGAATATATTAGCAAGTTAAAAAGTCAAGATATAAATCAAGTACTACATCAAAATGTGTGCTTTTCCTAAGCAGCTGCAATACCCAAAGCAGCACCAGCTGCAAATGCTCCTATAAAAATATGTATTTCTTGCAATTTAAATTCTTCTTCACCTGTAAGACCGTGATACCATTTTTGGCTTTTCTTTGATTTTTCTTTAGCAATTCTCTGCTTTGTCAATTTTCCTATCAACAAATCTCTCAATCTGAAATTTTAAAATGATAATGAATGTAAGCAATTATTTGCTACAAACAAAACCATGTGTTTTATTTTATAAAAAAAAACTACTACTTTATTTTTTTTAAGTTTACAATGCTATAGCATGGTTAACATGATAATCCAATGAAGAAACCACCAATAAAAGAAGTTACAATATAAGGATTCTCTCTTGTAAAAATTCTGACCTGTAAAATATTAGTACGTGGGAAGTTGTTCTTGAAGACGACATTATTTCTGTTGACTATAAAATATACTCACTTTATCCATTAATTTAGGAGTTTCTCCAGTAACAGCCTCTTCAATTTTATCTGTCACCTTATCAGCCTTTTTAGTTACTTTATCCCAGTCAATAGAAATGTACCCTTTGTGGTTAGCTACTTGTAATATTAAAATACCACCGCCAACGGCAAGAGCAGCCAATTTACCAATCCTCATAGTAACAAATCCAGTTGTCCTAAAATAATGTAAAAAAAATAATTTATTGATTTATCTTTAATTTCAATAAATGCATATATTCTGCAAAGGCATGAACCAATAGAAATTAAAAATGTTATAAATCATTATTAGTATTATTATTAGTTATAAATCAATGTTTATTATAAGTAAATAATTTGGATAATAACAATGTATAGAACAATACAACAGTGTAATTGTCATTAAGAGCTACACTGTTGTATTGTTTTATACGTAGAGCTACACTATTACCTTAACTTATATTATTATTATTACAAATTATCCCTTTCTTTTCCATCAAATTATTTAAAGAAGCAATAATTTGAAAATAAAATGTTACATTACTTTACAAGATTATAAAAAGATATTTAACAATTACTAAATGTACAATATATAGCAACTATATAAAAAAACATTAATATGAATAATTTATTATATGGTGAATTAACAGATATCTTAAAATCATGTCAAATTAAATTTTCTGGTATTGCTATTATAAACAAAAATATATCTGCGTATTTGCTTCTAAACTGTATATTGCTATACATAAGTGTATTTGTTCATGTTTACATAGAATATAAATGATATGAAATTTAATGGCAAAATAAAAAAAAAATTGTAGTTATTTACCATCCTGATAATGAACCAATGACTAATTGTTTAGTTGCTGAGGTTTTGCTCACATCCCCAAGAATGCGTTCAATAAAATTTTTAGCATCTTTAGCTACTTCATCCATACTGACAATTTCTTTATTTACTTCGTCCTTGTTCGATTTTCGCACAACTGGGCTTGCCATCGGTTCAATTCTATGGTTTCGAAAAGATTTGTTTATATTTGTCATATGATTTTTATGACATTATAGTATTAAAAATAGAACATTTATGGAGCCAAATTTATTTTTATAATTTAACAAATATTCTCACCTTCAATATACTTAAATATATATGACTATAACAAATATAGTAAGAGCACTTCGGAGCTCTAATATTTGCTTTATATTCACGATTCTCTATTATTTGACATTTACTTTCGATGTTTCGCAACTGCGCATCCAATGCAAGTAAAGAGTGAAACAAATGCAAGCGCACCTCTGCTCGCTATAACAGCGCCGCTCAATCTTTTTCTCTCAAATATTTGAAAATTTACATTCTGTGTCTATATTAAATGTACATAAAAAATAAATTTATATATCATTAATTGTACGTGAACTGATTTCTTTCTTGTAAATCAAATCAAAATGAAGCAAAAGCGCGCGCTAAACTTTTAAAATAAATTAAAAAAAGAAATTCAATATTTTAAAGATTGTTATCATAATGTGATGGTTATGCATATAAATTAGGTCTATGATAACTAATTTGAAACTATTTGAAAAACAAATATTGAATGTTGCTTATGTTTACTTATCTATGGAATGCTGCTTCTGTTTTATTAGTTTTGAGAGCGTTTAACACCAAAAATGCAACCTGTTGCCTACCATGAATCTTTCATGCGAACTTCAGGTGAATTAACTGTCGCTGTCAAAATATATATCTGCAAATTGTACTGTATGATCGGTTGTTTTAGTTAATTGCTGAATTCTATGGAATTTTGAAAAACTAGTAAAGTTTGATGTCGATTAAGTTTTCTTAAGCATATTAATATACTATTGCATACTCACTGTACTGAGCTGTTTGTTATATACCGAAATATTTCGATCGCCGTCGGTTGTTTACGTTCATTTTTATACAATCAAAGATCGTGCTAATTGTAGTCACACGTACTTCTTCATTCTTTTATTCTACTACAAAAACGAAATGAGTGACTCTGCAGCTGTATCCGAACCATGCATAGAAACAAAAGAGGTATTTATTGATATTCTACCCATGAAAGATTTAGCATTATCATATATTAATAGAATTTGTAAATTTAGTTGTCTTCACATGATTTGGAAAAGCTTGAAGAAGAAAAATTGAAAGCTAAGTTTCCAGCTGGTTTAGGAGGTCTCGGACGTGGTGGCCCAGGTGGACACAGTGCTTTTCTACAAAAAAGATTAGCTAAAGGGGTAAATAACATTTCACAATAATTATACTGATCAAAATCTTGCACAATAGACTATAAGACAATGAATACCCAAATATTTCTTTTCTTAGATGTTCTTGAATCAAAATTATTTAATTCTGATGTCACTGGCTTGTCATAGTTTATTATTATTATAATTAGTATCATAATAGATTAAGGAAGTTTTCACATTCAATAACATGTAATAGCATGAATGAGAAGTAAAACAAAATAAAATTTCTTCAATCTATAAACCTTTTCCTTTATTACAGCAGCAGAAATTTTTTGATTCTGGAGATTATCAAATGGCAAAACAGAAAATGGGGCAAGCAGGAAAGCAAGCTCTGGCTAATAAGGTGATTCCAACAGGTGATGCAATTCCTACTCCTGAAACCGTACCTGTTCGCAAGACATCTATTATACAGCAAAAATTTAATATAAGTCAATCATAATAAAAGTAAATTGTTGACAAATTTACTTTTGTTGTTTATTGTATTTTTAACATAAGGATTAGTTTGAATGTAAGAATGTAATACGCTGTTAATAATATTTTAAAGTGTAAAAATATAAAACCTATTAATGATTTGTATATCAACTTTTTTTTTAAATTATCCATAAACATAATTTTGCAGAAATTGCTTTATTTAATGAAGTTGTGAAGCTTCTTGATTGATATCGGATAATCTTGTTTGAATTAAACTCTTGTACTCTTTTATTAACGACATGCTTCCTGGAGGTGCTGCAAAACTTTTCTCCAAATGCATCTAAAACATAAAATATAAAGTAGCCATGAACTATACACTCATACAATATGCAATGCGTGCTTAGCCGACAACATCTGTTTATAGATGTATTCCAAAAATTAGTAATCTTTTTGAAATCACAAGCCGCATTCCATTTTTAAATTGTTGTGGCTAGCCGCACTTATTAATAATTTACAAATAAAATAAAAGCTATTCTATTCAAATCTTTATGCAAACTGAATCATGTTGTTTTACAAATTGCCATGTCTCCTCAAAGTAGACAGCCGAATGATATGCTTGTTGTACCCTCAGAGGGGTCGGCAAAGCGCAAAGGGTTCATAGAATAGAATTTGTTCAAAAGAATAAATTGTTACCTTTAAAATCTCTTCACTCTCGTAAGGTATTATGCTCGACAAGAAACCAATAAGGAATTTAAATGAAGCATGATCTTTTGATGGTGGGCCAATTGAATCTATTCCAAACTTTATTGAAAACCTACAATAATTTGTTTCGTGCATGTGTGTGTGTGTGTATATATATATATATATATATATACATATATATATTAGAGGTGAATGATATATCATAAAATGTTTTTAGACATCCATCTAATAATGAGAATAAATTTTTAGTGAAGAAAAATGACTACTGAAACTGTCTATGTGTGTATTACCAAATATATACTGATATAAAAGAAAAGTAAACCATACCATGTCGAATAGCTATCAAATCCGCATAGATTTCGTATGAGGCTTGCCTCACTAGTAAAAATGAAATCAATAAGTAATCAGCATCGCTTTTATCAAAAGCTCTATGTATAAGATTATCTATTATAACTAAAATCCAAATTGCACATTAGTGATAGAATTGAAAAGTCATTAAAAAGACTTCAATGTTATTATGTTCATTTACTTTTTAATTTCTGTGAATTAGGGTCTATATCTAAACATATTGATGCAGCTATAAGACACCACTTCCAAGATATTTCCTCTTCCTTCATGATAATAACTAACTCATCCAAAGGACTGGATATATATTGTATAATCTAGAAAATGAATCATGTTATCATTTAAAACACATAAATATAGTATTTTATATATATATATATATATATATATATATATACACACATACACATTCATCAAATCTCATCCCAATACCTCTGTAAACATGTTCAATATATTTTTGTCAAGATTTGCTTTTATCCATGAACTCTGGTGTTGTATAGCCATTTGAACTTTCACATATGGTTTGTGTTTTACTATCGTATGTAAATGATCCATATACACTTCCTGAATTACTCTATCTAAATAAAATATATTAATAATTGAAATATAGCAATTTATTCTAATTAAATATATTGCATACCTGTCAAAACATTTCTTTCCCTTAGTTCCTTTAAATAATTTATATTAAATTCCTCAATTTGATTCAGTAACATAGATAAAAATCGTCTCCTTATTGATTGCCAAATTATTGAACTAGTTTTTAACCATGCTGTTTGGAAACTTGGACTTATATTTCCTATTTGAGGTCCTGTATTGAGTTAAAATAAAATTTAAGATTTTAAGACTACTCAATGTGATTTATTTGTAAATCCGGTTTTTTATCTCCCTTATTTCAGGCATTATTAAAGCCTAATAATTCATTCATTAACATTTCAAGATAATACATTTCAATTATTAGTGTTCAAGCTCTTCTTGGCAATTCAATGAGTATTTAATGGTATTTAATAATAGTTATTACTCAATTCAACATCAAACAATTTACTACATTTGAAAAATTAATGGAATAGAATATACTTAATATAAAAAGTTTACCTTAATGCAAATTAAAAGTTCTATAAAAAAGTCTGTGTAGATTTGTTTAATATGAGCACAATCCTCTCGCTGAACTCCCAAATTTTTGTCATTGGTTAAACATGCTAATTGCACTAAAAGTTCTGGCAGTTTTTTAGCCTGATCTGGATGGCTACATAAACAATTAAATATTTATAGCAATAATTTATATTTCTAAATACAAGAAATGTGAAAATTCTTACAAATAAACATATGAGCCTAAATAAAATAGATGGTGCACCTGCAAATACCAAAGACTTTCTAAAGGCATAGGCAATTTCATATTCACAACCAACTTAATAAATTCATTCTCATCAATGTAGTTCGATGAAATATTACTGACAAGATTTTCAAGTAACATTTTAGTTCTGAATCGATTTCTGGGTGATAATAAAAGGTGATTTTTGTTACTTATTTCTTCCTCAACAATTTGTTTAAAAACCTATAAAAATGTAATTCAGTATTACAAGATATGTATACATGTGAATTCTAACAAACATACTCACAGAAAATATTTCAGGAACGTTTTCCATTATCTATTCTATTGAAAATAACTGATAAACTAAATTTTCAGTTCATTCTGTTAAAACCGTCTTTACAAATAATCTATAATTTAATAGGCGTGACTCATTCTTATTACTTCAAAAAAAAATGTTTTCAAACTACGTACGTAACCAAGAATTTATTTATTACAAATTAAATCAAGATCGAAAATTGAAACACAACCGTTAAAGTAACGCTTAGCAGTGAACAGATGATTAAGTAGTAAAGAATTTTTGAGGGCGACGCCAAAATTTATACATGGGCCTTAATTTTCTAATGCAAATTAATAAAATACCATAATATATTCGTATAAATGAGAATTGTAATAGATTTTGTATTTGCATATTTTTGACACAAACATAATTAACCTCAATTCTATAAATTGTCTATTATTATATTGTCCTTCCAAAGTATTTATACACAGGTACCAACCAATAAAAATTATATTGTGGTTTTGTGTAAAATCGTTTTATAGGGTAAAATTTGAAAAATGTGTTTCAAATGGCCTGTAGTTGTACTTTTAGCCATATATAAAGAAGAGCTTTTACCCTCGAAAGTATATAATTTGTTGTACACCCTGATATTATAAGTTGCTAACCACTGTCATAATATTAGATTTCTAACAAGTCCAGACTGAAATCTTAGAACCCTTGAGCTTTAGCTGATATTAACGGTTCATATTAACTTTTCTCAGACTATTGCGTAGTAGCTGACATTACACATTCTCTCACGAAATCATGAATTTACATCGACAAATCTCAGCAAGATCATATTATCGACATTCCGCCTAGTTAACAATTCTCACCAAGTTCGCATGAATAACATTTTGTTTAATCAGCTAAATTCATTACTTTGTCCTTTTCGTTGCATAGAATATTCGAGACAAATCCCCACTACGTTTCAAAGGATTTTAGTTTTAATAATTATGAAATAAATCAGTCTTAATCTGTCGGTCGCCGGGCAAACACTTCTCTTCCAATACCTTCGAGTTCCTTGTACTTAAAGTGAAATAAAGTGAAGTTTTTGAAATAGTATTTTCATTTATCAATCTCAAGTATTTTCAGCAAGTAAGTTTCAGGAACTCCGGAAGGTCCAGAGCAACAACACCGATTTGCATATAGCGGCGCCAACAGCTCTTTCTGTTCATCAACGCGGTGCCCCAACATATTATTTGGTGACAGCGGTGTTTGACTGATGAAGTAAACATTCAAATTTTTTTTTGTGAGCTTGGAAGAACGGCGTTTGAAAAATAATTGCCAAGAGTGACAAAAAATATAAGGGTGCTACTTCAAACTAGGAAGTACATCGTGGAAAACTTTGCCTCCGAGGATAGCCTTGCCAAAAGTGGACGTAGTTGATGATCAGAAAACCGAAGACTCAAAATATTGAATAATTCAAGACCCGAAGTATAAAATAATTCAAGACCCGAAGTATAAAATAATTCAAGACCCGGAGTATAAAATAATTCAAGACCCGAAGTAAAATATAATTCAAGACCCGAAGTATAAAATAATTCAATCTCAAGTATTTTCAGCAAGTAAGTTTCAGGAACTCCGGAAGGTCCAGAGCAACAACACCGATTTGCATATAGCGCGCCAACAGCTCTTTCTGTTCATCAACGCGGTGCCCAACATATTATTATTATTTTTTTTTATTTTTTTTTTTTCAATTGTATATTTTGGTTGTGTGGTTGTAATGCAGTATAGTTGATTGTGCAGTGTAAATGGTAAGTTGTACTAGATTTACCTATATTATTTCTTTGTTTTGTTTTCATATTAGAAAATTAGTTTTATATTATCCATTATTAGAATATCAACATTTGTTTGTTTGATCTATATTCCCCATATGCACTTAAAGTAGAACATAATTATTGTAAATTTGTTTAAAATAGTGACTGATTTCTTTGCAACTAATTGCTCACCTTTAATTATTGGCAATAACCCATAGGTAATATATAATTAGCATTTTTTTAATGTTAACATATGTAGCTATTACAGTAACTGCAAAGTACTATGAATGCTACATATTATTATTGAAATTGAGCTATTATCACTGATATCTAATGATATCTTAATTTTCAATTCAATGGTAGTAATATTTTGATACTTTTTGCAGTAAATAGAACTTTAAAAACACAAATAATTAAAAATAATATTTTTCATCATATTTTAAACCATTAACATCAATATGATGATAATAATGAAAAGATATATATTTTTAAAATAATTTAATTTTATTTAAATGTAGAAAGTGATCTCTGATAGAAATTAATTTTTTATCTCATTGAATATTCTAGTTATTCTATCACATTTTTATAATATTATTCAGTTCTCTGGGCAGATATTGTTTTTGAAATAGCAACTGTAGGCCTATATCTTGAATATGATCCTAAATTTTGATTTGGGAACAAAGGCGCATGTAAATGTGCTCTTGCTGTAAATCTTTTTCCAGCAATATCAATTTCATATTTTGCTTCTTTGTCCAGAATAAATTTATCATTCAATATGGCTGGGGTATTTGGTTTGTATTTCTGTAAATATCCTAGGCAAATCAGCTTATTTGTTGTGAAGCCATATCTGTAATTTAGTAAGTTATTGTGAAAATAATAAAATTTTGTTTTAGAGCCACATACCACAATCATTGCTTGCCCTTTCTTACATATATGTTCTGAAACTATTAATCACTCACCCTGCAGAAGTAACTGTTCCCATATATTCATTGTTTCTATAAATGGGCTCGCCGCCCCAAGGCCATATATCTTTATCACAGTCTATGTCTTGAAGTTGAAACATCACTAAACGTTTGTACATCCTTGTTCCTTTTGTCTTAACAAAGCAGATTTTCCAATAAAATATTCTTTCTAAAAATCAGAAAATGTCACCATGGACATTTTAAAACCAACCATCCCAATTGCTTACATCTAGTTTGACGCTATAACCATTTCCTGCTTCATACGGAGTAGTGAAACTGGTCAATTCCTCTGCCCAAAAAGGTATAAACTTTTCAATTCTCATAAATCTTTGTGTTAAAGTTCCTACATCCCTTGCGCCATAATCGCGACCAACCTATACAGAAATAAGTATGCAAAATATATGTAATGTGGTGCTTAAGTTGGAATGCATTTGAAAGCATGTGAATTGTTTAAGTGAATGAAATACTAACGCTCATAAGTCTGTCATAAATATGCAAAGCATATTCTGATGGCACATACAGACAAAATCCAGGTTCACCTGTATGTGTGAAGGACATTACCATAACATCTGATGCATACCCTACATTAACCTGAGAATATAGAAAATATTTATTAAATTAATTCAGAGTATTGTTAGAATTACCTTTTTTTTTTAAAGACAACTTTGATTGTAGCACCATTGTCGAGTGAAAAAATAATGGTTCAAAGAAAAAGAAAAAAACAAAATAGAAAAATCTGAAGTAAAATAAAATCTCTAACACTCTGTATTGTAGGTTTTTGAAAAAATCACTCCATAAACCCAGTCTGTCCATAGCCGATTTCAAAAATTTAAAAGCCATTTGATGTATCTCGGAGAAGAATTCCATTTCTCAATTTTGTGCTACGGTCGGCCGAGCTGGTTCTTAGTAATTAAGAGAAAAGTGAAATGATTTTCTCCATGTTTTAGCCGAAAATTCTAAATCAATTTCAAAAATTCATTATTCAAAAAAGATATTATTCGGGAATCGTGCGTTTCTTCGTAATTAACTCTTGAAATTTTTTTTCAATGAGATTTTTTATGTTGATAGACATCATGGTCCTAAAAAACATAAAAATGTTACGACCCTAGGGCAACATATAAAAATGTTACGACCCTAAGGCAAGTAGTTAATTTTAAAAATTCATCAATGTTTGACAAAGAATAAAAATTCGTGTTAAAAGTCGCTTTTGTGATGTGATTGAGATGTGTGATGAGTCAGAATTTGAATTCCACAGATTTAAAAGCCATTCTTTTGGAATCAGCAGAAAAATAAGTCTACAAAACTTCTCTAGTTGTGTAAAAAATATTACCATTAGTTTAAATCATTAAATAATATCAATTTCGGTTGATTAAGTCAATTATTACACATTTTGAAAAGTTCATGCAAATTTCCAAAAGGCAAAATGCCACTTTCAACTAGTTAACTATGTTATTAGATGACTATACTTTATTATGCGATGATAAAAGTTACCTATCTATCTATATGCAAATTTATATTAAAAAAAATGTATGCAGTATTCAGTTCTGCGAGTTTCCGGAAAATTATTTAAAATGTTTAACATCTAGATAAAATGTATTTAAACTTTCTTTCCACTATCGTTTAGAATTTCAGTAAAATTTAAACGAATCCGGCGAGTTTGTCTTATAATCATAACGCTAAAGTTTATAAAGAATAATCGCCACATACTTAATTGATCACAGAAAATAATGACATAAATTAATCAAAAATTGCTTATATAAATTAACTACCTTTGCGAATTCGAAAGGTTGATAATATTAGCAATAACATGTAGAAAAAATATTTTATTGTTCATTATTTTTAATGAGCAATATAAATATAATTCCTGTAAACATTTCAAAAACGTCTTATTATGTTCATACAAAAAAATATATATGCTATATTACCTTCTTGTATGTGAAAGGCGCCAAATTTATATTTGAATTGGAAAGTTCACTTAAGAGCTGAGTTGCTTTTGGTCCTACAACATTAATTACAGTATACATTGAAGTAACGTCATTTAGGCAAACTGAATGGTCACTAGGCAAATGTCGGTTCATCCAGCCATATATCCTAGTTTGTTGACTTGAAGGTGAAACCATGAAAAAACTAAAAATCGATAAATTAAAGAAGAGTTTTATTTGAGCTACAATAAATAAAAGTTAAGAGATACCAGTCGTCACTTTGCCGAACCAATATACAATCATTTTCATAGCCACCTTGCTCATTTTGCATTCCCGTATGCACAATTGATCCTACTGGTATATTTATATCATTAGAGCACATTTTTTCTAAATATTCAACCACTGCATTTGTATTTGACTGCAATGAAATAATCAACAATATTAAAATTAGTGCAATTCTATAATTTGCTATTGAACAAAAATTGAAGTGTAAAAGAAATTAATCAATACCTTTATAGTTATTTTTGAAAATGATGACATATCTATTATACCAACACCTTCTCTACAGGCGAGATACTCTTCTCTCATAAAATCAAAAAATTTAGGT